TGATTGTTTAGATTTTTATTGTCATTAGTTCTATTTAATATAAAATTTAAAACTCTGGAAATCTTAAAAAGACAAAAAAGATAAATAAGACATACGTCAAAGTCTAAAAAGGATCTTTAGAAAAATATTTTCTTAAAAAAATCAATGCTTAGTTTATTTTAAATAGATTTTTATTGTCATTAGTTCTATTTAATATAAAATTTAAAACTCTGGAAATCTTAAAAAGACAAAAAAGAAAAATAAGATATACGTCAAAGTCTAAAAAGGATCTTTAGAAAAATATTTTCTTAAAAAAATCAATGCTTAGTTTATTTTTATAAAAAAACTACAGTTTCAGTTATTAATGTGTGTACATGGGCACACTTTAGATTTTCGCCCTAGGCCCTTGAGAGCTCAGGACCGGCTCTGCTAGAGAGAGAGAACCACGTGACAACCAATCCAATTCAACAAAGACTTTCAACCTTCTTCAACTACCACACTACAAAACCTGATGCAATATGAACTCACAGCAAACCTCTTCAACTATGACCCCAAAACTTGATCCAATATAATCTCATAGTAAAGACGTACAGGACCACATATGTTAATCAATTATGATTATTAGTTTTGATTAAAATGGATTCTTAGAAAAGACACAAACCAACTAAACTTTAATAGAAAAATAATATCTATTAAAACAAATGAATTAGACCAATCAAGTAGGAAATAATATCAAGAGATAAAATCTAGTCCTATTAAAAATAGGATTAACATAAAAATACTTGAGTGAAAATAATTCCAACTAGGAATCCTATACTGAATGCATGATTATGTCATGGTTTACCTGAAATCAATTTTCTCATATCGATCAAGTCACACTTCGAAAATCCGGGATTGAATGTGTTGCGCCAAATCTTCCAATAAACATAATTCACACACTACTTCTCAACTTATGCTAGAGTCTAGGAAATGACAATACAATTTTCATACTAACAGTTTTGGAGCTCATAAGTGAGAAGGTAAAAAGCAGAAGTAGTGATAGGACAGAAGCCGGGAGGCGAAGATAGGCCATATTTTGGACGAGGTATGAAATTCTGAAAGCCTTAGTTCTTGATAAGGTTATGAGAGTTGTGATTTTGCGTGAGCATCTAAACCAGTATTATAGAAAGAGAAACGTAAAGAGCAAGACTTGAAAAACATGGAGATCTCAAAAGGTTTGGTCGAAGGGTATTGGTGTTGTTAGTTCAAATTCTGAACTGCATTCATATATATCTACTTCCTTTCTGTACTTGACAAGTAATCAATATTCCTTTTGTTTTTCTACCATATTTCAATTTTGTCTTTGATTACTTTTTAGAGTAATTATAGAATACTACGGTAGTAATTTATTAAGGCCATGTTTTATAATATAAGTGGATATTTATCGATACTATTCTCTTAAAAGGGAGAAAATAAACCATGTCGTCCACTCATATTATAACACGTGTATAGATGTATTATATGGGATTTAACTTTTTAACTAGTGCTGTGGTGAGAACTATTGTCAATGATCCCAAATAAACACAACCAAAAAAATAATCAACATAATTCAAACTTGAGGGAGATCTAAATTCAAGAAACTATATCTTCAAAATCAACCAAAATTTCATGAAAGACTGAAAAGCAAAAGGGAGCCAGCAGTTGATGTTGGGGTTGCTGCCAACCACCAACCTAAGTGAGTCTGTTTATCTACATTAAGCCCATGCCAGAATAAAGCCATCAGTATTATTCTTTTGTAGGTCCTACATTGCCAAGATCAATATTACAACAGATATACAAAAGCTTATTATATATATGGTTGTCAACTTGTCAAGATATACTTGTGGAAATTAAGTGAAAAACAAAGAAGATCAATACATATGCAGAAGTTGAGCTAACAATACCAATACCCTTTGACCTTGATGTTTTTCAAGTCTAGCTCTTTACATTTCTCTATCTATAAATACTGGTTTAGATGCAAAAGCAAAATCACAACTCATAACCTTTAAAACAACTATATATCTTTCATAATCTGATTCATCATCCTTTGTCATTAGCTAGCTAGCTCCAAAAATGGCCTATCTTCGCCTCCCGGCTTTTGTCCTACCACTACTTCTGCTCTTTGCCTTCTCACTTATGAGCTCCGAAACAATGGTTGCAGGGGCTCGCTTTCTTCTCGAGACTCCCTTGCCTCAAGTGCCCGAGCTTCCAAAGCCTGAGCTGCCACAATTGCCTAAGCCTGAGCTTCCACAGTTGCCAAAGCCTGAGCTGCCACAATTGCCTAAGCCTGAGCTGCCACAACTTCCTAAGCCTGAGCTTCCACAACTTCCTAAGCCTGAGCTTCCACAATTGCCAAAGCCCGAGCTGCCACCGCTTCCTAAGCCTGAGCTACCGCAGTTTCCAAAGCCTGAGCTGCCACCATTGGCTAAACCCGAAATACCATCAGCACCTCATGTCCCAACTTTGCCAAAGGAAGGCCATAAGTTGGCTGAAATACCCCATGCCCCAACCTTGCATGAGTTACCTCAACTTCCAAAGCCTGAATTGCCACCACTTCCCGATTTCCCAACTTTGCCGAAGCCCGAGCTGCCAGCAGCAGTGCCCAATGTCCCTACTTTACCAAAGCCTGAAGTGCCAAAGTTGCCTGAAATTCCACCTCTGCCACATCTCCCAACTGAGCTACCTAAGCCCACATTGCCCTCTGTCCCAACCCTCCCCAAGGCCACACCCCTCCCTTCACTCTTCCCACCTCACAAAACCACCCTCCCTTGATTCTCTTAAAATATTTCTAATTAATTTGTTTCCCTATTTATATCTTTGTAATCATCATGTCTTCTCCAATGTTTCTTTCTTATCATGTACTGCTACATTTGAGTATTAATGCATAAGAGTGTTTATGGTTACTTATGTTGGATATATTCTTAATTTATTCTTATACTTTAAATTTCGTCTGATAGTATCTTTACTCGCTCATTTGGAAAATTGATATGGAAAAAACTGAACTCTATATTTTGTTTAACATAAATATAAAACTTGAAAGTGAAAACAATTTCAAAAAGATTTCAGTTTTTAGTTTTTGTTTTCACTTTTGTTCTTCCTTCTTCCCTCCTCCCCTCTCATCTTCCCTCTCAATCTGATCTTCACTCTCATTCTCACTTCCATTCTCCCTCGTTTCCCTCTATACTCTAGCACAAAAAATGAAAACTGAAAACTAAAATTGAAATGGTTATCAAATGGGCCTAAATTTTTACAGCTCACACTATTAATGTTAATCATTGGCAAAAACAGGGTACTTCAGACAACTAATCAGTAAGTGCTTGTGCCCCTGCAAGGTTTCCCTATTCATATTGATTAGATACATATGGTTATGCAAACCGATTTTGTTCTTTAGAAATCTCCTCCCCTCTCAGTTTTGATATGTTGTAGTAGAGACCCATTGGACCAACTTTACTCAAGAATGTCTCCTCATTTGATGTGTAGATCGCTAAAATAAGGCCTGCAATAGGATTTACGAAACTGGACTGACAAGGGAGTGTAGCCGAAATTGGGTTTGTCTCTAAGCTCTTCTTCCATTTATCCAAGCCTTAACATGCTTGAATTGCATGAATTATGTTGTCTTCCTCTATTTACCTACAAAACACACAAAGAGAGGTAAATGACTCAGAATTCTAAGAAACTAAGCAAAATGACTAAGTAAATAGGGCATGTATATGTATGAAATTATGAGCTTAATAAAAAGAAAACTAATCATTAGCAAGTTGGCTTTGTAATTTTAATTGTGCTTAGTTCCCTTTTAAGCTCTTTCCAATCGGGGATCATATACCTAACTCGGTTTCAAATTTTGATTTCTAAGGGCCCGTTTGATAACCATTTCAATTTTAGTTTTTATTTTTTTCATTTTTTTGTGCTAGAATATATAGGAAAATGAGAGTGAGAATGGGAGTGAGGATGACATTGAGAGAGATGATGAGAGGGGAGGAGGAGTAACAAAAGTGAAAACAAGAACTTAAAAGTGAAAATAATTTCAAATAGATTTCAGTTTTTGTTTTTGTTTTCACTTTTGTTACTCCTCCCTCTCATCCTCCCCTCCCATATTCCCTCTCGATCCAATCTCCGCTCTCATTCTCACTTCCATTCTCCTTCTTTTTCCTCTATACTCTAGCACAAAAAATGAAAACTAAAAAGTAAAAATGATTATCAAACAGGCCCTAAATTAATCAACTTTGAATCTTCATTGATTTGAGAGCTATTATTAGGGCTGACTTGAAAGCTTAAAAACACAAAAAATTGGAAAGAGTAAGATAAATGTAGTTCATTCGTTCTTATACGCATACACAAGTGTAAGAATGAATATTAAGAATAACAACCCAACAGTAGTAAGAATAAGAACACTTAAGCATTAATACTCATATGTAGCAATACATGATCAGAAAGAAACACAGGACATGACATAATGATTACAAAGATATGTGTATGCCATAAACCCTGACATAGATATAAATAGTGAAACAATTTAACTAAGACAAATATTTAAGAATATTCAAGGAAGGGTGGTTTTGGGGGGTGGAATGAGAGAAGGGAGGGGTGTGTCCTTGGGGAGGGTTGGGATGGAGGGCAATGTGGGCTTAGGTAGGTCAGCTGGGAGATGGGGAAGAGGTGGAATTTCAGGCAACTTTGGCAACTCAGGCTTTGGCAAAGTTGGGAAATTAGGAAGTGGTGGCAATTCAGGCTTTGGAAGCTCAGGGAAATGGGGCTCTTCTGCCAACTTGAGACCTTTCGGCTTTGGCAAAGTTGGAACATAGGGTACTGGTGGCAATTCGGGTTTCGGCAATGTTGGCAGCTCGGGCTTCGGCAATGTTGGCAGCTCTGGCTTCGGCAACTGTGGCAGCTCAGGCTTTGGCAACTGTGGAAGCTCAGGTTTATGGAGTGGTGGCAGCTCAGGCTTTGGAAGTTCGGGCACTTGAGGCAAGGAAGTCTCGAGAAGAAAGCGAGCCCCGGCAACCATTGTTTTGGAGCTCATAAGTGAGAAGGTAAAGAGCAGAAATAGTGGTATGACAGAAGCCGGGAGGCGAAGATAGGCCATATTTTGGACGAGTTATGAAATTCTGAAACCTTTAGTTCTTTCTTGATAAGGTTATGAGTTGTGATTTTGCTTGAGCATCTAAACCAGTATTTATAGAAAGAGAAACGTAAAGAGCTAGACTTGAAAAACATGGAGATCTCAAAAAGGTTTGGTCGAAGGGTATTGCTGTTGTTAGTTCAACTTCTGAACCGCTTTCATATACATCTACTTCCTTTTTGTACTTGACAAGTAATCAATATTCCTTTTGTTTTTCTACCATATTTTCAATTTTGTCTTCTATTACTTTTTGGAGTGATTATAGAATACTATGGTAGTAAAGTCACGTTTTATAATATAAGTGGATATTTATTAATACTATTCTCTGAAAAGGGAGAAAATAAACCAAGTCATCCACTCATGTTATAACACGTGTATATGATGTAACCATGTGGAATTCAACTTTTTAACTAGCGCCGTTGTGAGAACTATTGTCAATGATCCCAAATAAACACAACCAAAAAGTTATCAACATAATTCAAACTTGAGAGAGATCTAAATTCGAGAAACTATATCTTCAAAATCACCCAATATATCATGACTGACTGAAAAGCAAAAGGGAGCCAGCATCAGTTGATCTGTTGGGGTTGCTGCCAACCACCAACCTAAGTGAGTCCGTTTATCTACATTAAGCCCTTAATTTAATTACTTAGATCTAATTAACCACAGAATAAAGCTGTCAATATTATTCTTTTGTGGGTCCTACATTGCCATGATTAATATATATAATACAACAGATATACAAAAGCTTATATGGGAAACAATTACCATATATATGGCTGTCAACTTGTCAAGATATACTTGTGGAAATTAAGTAAAGAAACAAAGAAGATCAATATATATGCAGAAGTTGAGCTAACAACACCAACACCCTTTGACCTTGATGTTTTTCAAGTCTAGCTCTTAACATTTCTCTATCTATAAATACTGGTTTAGATGCAAAAGCAAAATCACAACTCATAACCTGTTTCATCATCCTTTTTGTCATTAGCTAGCTCCAAAAATGGCCTATCTTCGCCTCCCGGCTTTTGTCCTACCACTACTTCTGCTCTTTGCCTTCTCACTTATGAGCTCCAAATCAATGGTTGCAGGGGCTCGTTTTCTTCTCGAGACTTCCTTGCCTCAAGTGCCCGAGCTTCCAAAGCCTGAGCTGCCACAATTGCCTAAGCCTGAGCTTCCACAGTTGCCAAAGCCTGAGCTGCCACAACTTCCTAAGCCTGAGCTTCCACAACTTCCTAAGCCTGAGCTTCCACAGTTGCCAAAACCCGAGCTGCCACCGCTTCCTAAGCCTGAGCTACCGCAGTTTCCAAAGCCTGAGCTGCCACCATTGGCTAAACCCGAAATACCATCAGCACCTCATGTCCCAACTTTGCCAAAGGAAGGCCATAAGTTGGCTGAAATACCCCATGCCCCAACCTTGCATGAGTTACCTCAACTTCCAAAGCCTGAATTGCCACCACTTCCCGATTTCCCAACTTTGCCGAAGCCCGAGCTGCCAGCAGTGCCCAATGTCCCTACTTTACCGAAGCCTGAAATGCCAAAGTTGCCTGAAATTCCACCTCTGCCACATCTCCCAGCTGAGCTACCTAAGCCCACATTGCCCTCCATCCCAACCCTCCCCAAGGCCACACCCCTCCCTTCACTCATCCCACCTCACAAAACCACCCTCCCTTGATTCTCTTAAAATATTTCCAATTAATTTGTTTCACTATTTATATCTTTGTAATCATCATATCTTCTTCAGTGTTTCTTTCTTATCATGTACTGCTACGTTTGAGTATTAATACATAAGAGTGTTTATGGTTGCTTCTGTTGGATTATTATTCTTAATTTATTCTTATACTTTAAATTTCGGTCTGATAGTATCTTTACTCGCTCATTTGGAAAATTGTTATGGAAAAAACAGAACTCTATATTTTGTTTAACATAAATATTAAACTTGAAAGTCAAAATAATTTCAAATAGATTTCAGTTTTTAGTTTTTGTTTTCACTTTTGTTACTCCTTCTTCCCTCCTCCCTCATTCTCACTTCCATTCTCCCTCTTTTCCCTCTATACTCGAGCACAAAAAATGAAAACTAAAAACTAAAACTGAAATGGTTATCAAACGGGCTCTAAATTGTTACAACTCACACTATTAATGTTAATCATTGGGAAAAACAGAGTACTTAAAACAACTAATCAGTAAGTGTTTGAGCCCCTGGAAGGTTCCCCTGTTCATATTGATTAGGTACATATCGTTATGCAAACCGATGTTGCACATTCTTTAGAAATCTCCTCCCCTCTCAGTTTCTGTTACTCTTTCCAGTTTGTTGTTTTTAAGTTCTTCGGAAAGCCCTAATTCACTTGATTATAATAATGTGTTACGTTTTAATTTTTCTCCTAACTTGAACTTTTGATCAGTAAGAGAATGCATTCAGTTACAGAATGCAGACAGGAGTTTGAATTGAACATATACTCACTGAAATAGATGGATCATCACATCAGGCAGTGGTGAACTTAGTAAACAGTAATTTCTTTGAATTTCGTTTTGGTAACCCCGAGGACTCGTTTGGTTGTCTAAAAACAACATGGATTGGATTATGCTTAATCTTATTAGACCAAAAAAGGTTTGACATTATGTTGGATTGGATTATGTCTCATCATACTAACCTATGTAAAAGCATGTTTCAAATAATCCAGTCCTTTAATGTAATCCTCTCCAATCCAATGTAATCCAATTCGATCTAATTCCCAATCACTAAACATTAGGTGATAGCATAGCAATGAAATGAAGAACAGTGAAGATCAAATCCTGAATTGGTGCCCGCATCGCCATTTCTGCGAATTGTGAACTTTGACATTAAATACAACTCTGTCAAGTGCAAAACACACCACACTTTACATTATTTTTTCAGTTCTCTTAAATTAATGCCCCTATAATACAAACAACTTTTTAAATAACTTATCTGAGGAATAAGATACAACAAGGCCACACATGAAATCAGGACCAAAACAAATGATTTTTTACAGAAATTCTGCCGTGTTTCTCCTTCAAGTTGTCTTCCTTATAATCCAGTGTCCATTTTTCAAATGTACAGTCAACAAAGTCATAATAACCACCATGCACAGAAAGAATACCATTCTTCACTTTCTCTTCTATCCACGGGTACGTGAGGAGGTTCAACAACGAACGGTTGATTGACTCCTGCAAAAGGATACCATTCAATATGAGAAATATTTTATGAACCTGGTGCACCATTTTATGATATAAAACAGCCTCCATTAGTTGCAACCCAAATTTATGCCACAACAGGAGAACTTTATTGTGGACTTCGAAAGAATTGGGTTTAACTCCCAGATAGGTACGAGGTCAATAATGACTAAAATAAATGACCTTTCAAACTGAATTCAATATCTAAAGGTATGTCATCAGATGCAATTCTGATTTGTTTTGTTTCAACCTTTAAAAACTACCCCCCTCGCCCCAAACATAATTTTTCCAAACCATCAATCAGGAGATATACTATACAAATAAAACAGAATGCTGATACGAGCTTCAACATATACAGACTCAAAGGATTCGTCACTTGAAACATAGTAATAAGAGTAATTACTTTGAATTTCATTTGGCTTATGCCAATGAAATGAAGAAAAATACAAATGGTGAACAATTATGTCACGGCAAGCAATTCCAAACACAGAATTTTTTACTTAAGTTAAAAGGACAGAAGAAATATTAAATAATTAGAAAAGATTAATGTTACCTTCTCACAGTGTTTGCACTGCTGGTCAAAACTGAGCTTGGAGGCAGCAGCCTTTGTCCACAACCTTGCATCCCTCCCAACAACAACCCAATTTTGGATAAAGCTACTGCATAAAAGAGTTTTTAGCAAAGTGAGAAACATTGTTTGACTGTTTCTTGAACAAACAAATTTAAAGTCAAACATAGGCAATGACCACATGCACTACTTGAAAAGTACACAACAAGAAATTTACCCAACCTTTTCTCTACTTCATCATCCATACTCATAAGAGCACGAATGCCTCCACAGCAGCTGTGACCAACGACCAATATGTTCTCAACCTACAAAATAATTATTGCTTAGAATAGATTTCGAACCGGCTTACTTCTTCCCACTCTTCTATTAAGAAGCACACTGAACCTCAGAGATTCAACTTTTCCTGATACAGCAAAGACTAGCCACCTTTTTATGCCCAAGGTTGATTGAAAATAAATGTATATGTCATATGAAGATTTGTTAATGCTGTTCTTTCCCCACAACCCCATTCAGAATTTCATTTCTTACTTTAAGAACCTACACTTTAAGAACCTATACTAAAATACTTGGAAGACCCTTTCTTATCAGCAATGTGGGTCTCTAGTGCCTACACATTTCCTACCTCCCTATTGTCATTCAATAAGCAGGGATGTGTAACCAATAGTTGCAAGGGAGATAGCAAGGAAATAATTGGCATTTTATTTTAGATTTTATTCACAGAATACTTACTTCCAGGGTATTCACAGAAAATTCTAATGCAGCATTTGTTTCTGAGGGTCCACTCTGCAAAAACGGAAAAAAATAAATTGAATAATATAATCTCATTTGATTGGCGAGTGTTCGCTTCTTGTGGCATTAATGTCTAGCCTTCCGTGAAGCAGAGATGAAGACAATAATTCAAATTTATTTATAATATACCACGAAGGAGGGCACCAAATTCGCAATGTTGCGCACTATAAATGCTTCTCCCGGTTGGAATCCCAAAATGGTTGAAGGGCATACCCTAGAATCTGCACAAGAAATCACCATGAACTGTTCTAGAAACATCAGTACACATACATATTCTCCCTGACACTCAATACCAGATTGAGGCAAACATCAAATGAATCTATCTAGATGTCCTAGATCGTTCAATACATATGGACATGCACAGTTAATGACTAAATTTGGGAAGATGGGGTGAAGAAAGGAAAAGTACACATTTATAATACAACCTTTGGCGCTTGACCCTTTGCAAGATTTTGATAATGTTCCAAGTTTTCCCTATTCAAAATGAAAGCCAAATTAGGGAACAGAAGTACTTTACTTTAAGCTGAAGAACCTCAAGACCTGAGTCCTTGGACACTTACATATATTTATGCTTTTTGAAGCTTAGAAACCGACGTTTCATATCTTCAAATAAACCGCTCCCATCATCAGTTTCTACTACGCTCTCTAGTTTGTTGTTTTTAAGTTCTTCAGTGAGCCCTAACGGCTTTCTTGAAGCCTTTGCAGTTAAATCGGAGCAATTGCTGCAAATAGCAAAAGGAAAACATTTCAGCACCAACCAACTACCTATGAAATTTCAAGTTCTACAAGTTACTTAGCTGATGATTTAAACAAAAATAGAGACATTCTTATCTCTTAGGACCAATCCGAAGGTTGCATGCAGTCGTAATCTTATATTGTAAACATCTCCTATATACAAACCATCAAACAAAGATAATTAGAGTCTTTGTAATACCAAACAAAGATAATTAGAGTCTTTGTGATGCCACACAACAGATCTAAGTAAACCCATCATATTGATCTCACCAATAAAGGAGCAGCCTTGAATTTCAGCGAGGTGTGAAAACCAAAACGAAAATCCCTCATTGTACCAGTAAATTTAGCCTTGATTCTGGATTTCTTTTTCTCACAGTAATTTCAAATTTCAAAATTCTCATGGGCAAACGACAGAAATTTAACGTTGTTTGTGCCTTAACAGTACTATGAGCACAAAAACAGAACATTCAAACTAAATCCTACTTCGTCTCACTAACATTTCCTTTCTCAAATCAATCAAGGTTAGTAAATTTGGAGCTCAAATGGCCACAATTGGAAAGAACATAAAAGGCAAGGCAGAAGATTGGAAATTACAAAGTAAATCAAGAAACCTGAAACATATAGATAGATATCAATGCAAATTAAGCGAACGTAACAATATGTTCAGCAGCATAGGTGAGAAATGCAGCAACTTACTTGGAAGCAGTCAATAATCTCAATTGGGTCTGCTCAATCTTCCCTGACTTCAGCTTAGAACCAAAGATCTGCAGCAAAAGATTCAAGAAATCAACAAAACCAACGAAATGAAATGAAATGAAATGCTTGAGAGAGAAAGAGGAAAACAAACGAGAATTTACTCTTGGCGGGTTCAATGAGATTCTCTGGAGATCCGAGGAGGAGGAATTGGAGGAGGTGCGGAGGAACAAGGGGTCTTTTGAAACAGAGGTTGGCGCAAGAATAGCCATGGAAGAGAGAGAGAGAGAGAGAGAGAGAGAGAGAGAGAGAAGTGAAAGAGAGCTCCAAAGGAAAATGGGGTTTCAGAGACAAAGCATAGAGAGTGCAGAAGAAGAAGAAGGTGTTTAATAGACGTTGGGTTTGGTTGAGTTGGTTGGTCAGATCAAGAAACATTTGTCAGTCTCCCAGAAAGACGGAGAAAACGAAGATAAAATAGAAGACAATGCCAATGGACACCCCACATCTATATCTCTATGCAACACTAGAAGCTGTTAAAGTTTGATGCTGAACTGTCTTTCGAAAATGTAATGTTGGAGGACAGAAAGACAGTTGGGAGTTAAACAAGACCACCTTGTGCCACTTCACTGTATTTTGTATTTTCTTTTCTTTTTTTTAATTCTCTAACCCTGTTTTTCCTTTTCTTTTTTTTATTTGGAAATAATTTAACAATACTACCTCAACTTTTACTCGGATTTAGGAAGGAAGACGGGGGTATACTCACACATACGGTGTCATGGAAGATCGAATCGCAGACCACTAGCATGTTGCATACCAACAGCTTACCACTTTCACTAAAATTTCACCAGATCAACCATTTTTCATGACCTGCACATGTTTACTATTTTGTCTCCTTTTCCACTAAATAAACGGTTTTTTGGAAAAATAAATAAATAAATAAATTCCTTCGTTTAGTTTTTATCAAAATAATCTTGAAAATTTGAAAGAGCATCCTTCAAAAAACTTATTTTTTAGTTTCAATTCTCAAGGTCATTTCATTAATCGAGTAATCAGGCATCAAATAAATAGGGCTTTGAATTCTGAAAACTTGAAGAAGTCTTGGACAGTACTTGGACTTGATTTTCTGTCATAGCCCAATATCGAATTGGATCTATGTCTTTGTGGTTCAACTATATAAAATTGAATATAAATATGGAAAATCGATTAAATTTGATGAAGTTTCTGTTTGATTTGGAATTTGATGGATCATGGCAAAGATTATTATTATTATTATCTTTTGTTTTTGTGAAAAGATACTTCATAAACAGCCAAAAGGCAAAGAAAGAGGCAAAAAGCCAAAACAACAAACACGTCGGTCAGAAGGCCCCAGCTACCCCAAAGACATAGAGGACAGCTAAACACACAAACAAAGATTAAAGATACAAGTTAAATATTTGTTTTTACTTTTTGCTACGCTTTTGTAGGCACTAGAGACTATCAAAGGTCAAAAACGGTCTGCTTTGATTGCCGAGGCACTAGTGACTATGAATGGCTGTGTGGAAAACAGGGCATGAACCTTATTTCTTCTGATCAATGAGATTAG